TTCCTTCCTTCCTTCCTTCCTTCCTTCCTTCCTTCCTTCCTTTCTTCTTGCCTTCCTTCCTTTCTCTCTTTCTTTCTTTCTTTTGTCAATGAATGTTTATAGTAACTTTATTTGTAATAGCAAAGAACTGGAAACAAGTCACATTCCAAGTAATAGGTGAACAGATACAAAAATATGGTAAATACTATTCAGCAATTTAAAAGAAATTAAAAGGATACAAAGAACAATAAAAATGAATCTGAAAATATGCTGAATATAAGAATCCACATGCATATAAAGTACACATCACATTATTTCATTTATAAAAATTCTAGGAAGTAAAAATATTTTATTCCTGGGCTGGAGTACATAGGTCATGAGTAAGAAGAGTGAAAGTAAGGGTGGATGAGCATGTTCATTGTCTTGAATGGTATGATAGTTTCATAAGCATATTTATAAATTTATAAAATTATGTACTTTTTTATTTTAAATACATAGCAGAATTTTTAAAATTATTTTTATTTATATATGACAGTGGAATGCATTACAGTTCATATTAAGCATATAGAGCACACTTTTTCATGTCCTTGGTTGTATACAGAGTAGAGTCACACCAATTCATGTCTTCATACATGTACTTTGGATAATAATGATTATCAAGTTCCACCATCATTTCTACCCCATGCCCCCTCCCATTCCCTCCCATCCCTTTGCCCTATCTAGAGGTTTTCTATTTTTCTCATGCTCTCCCTCCCTACCCCACTATGAATCAGCCTCATTATATCAGAGAAAACATGTGGCATTTGGTTTTTTGGGATTGGCTAACTTCACTTAGTATTTTCTCCAGCTCCTTCCATTTATCTGCAAATGCCATGATTTTATTCTCTTTCAATGCTGAATAATATTCCATTATGTATATATGCCTCATTTTTAAAAAATCCATTCATCTATTAAAAAGCATCTAGGTTGGTTTCACAGTTTAGTTATTGTAAATTGTGCTGTAAACATTGATGAATCTGTATCCCTGTAGTATGCTGTTTTTATGTCCTTTGAGTATAGACTGGGGAGTGGGATAGTTGGGTCAAATGGTGGCTCCATTCCCAGTTTTTCCAAGGAATCACCATACTATTTTCCATGTTGGCTGTACCAATTTGCAGTTCCACCAGCAGTGCGTGAGTGTGCCTTTTCCCCCACATCCTTGCCAACACTTATTATTGTTTGTATTCTTGATAGCTGCCATTCTGACTGAAGTGAGATGAAATCTTAGAGTAGTTTTGATTTGCATTTCTCTAATTTCAGAGATGATGAACATTTTTTCATATATTTGTTGATGAATTGTGTATCATCTTTTGATAAGTGTCTGTTCAGTTACTTGGCCCATTTATTGATTGGGTTATTTGTTTTTTTTTTTGGTGTTTAGCTTTTTGAGTTCTTTAAATACCCTAGAGGTTAGTGCTCTATCTGATGTGTGAGAGGTAAAGATTTGCTCCCATTCTGTAGGCTCTCTATTCATCTCACCTTGTTTCTTTTGCTGAGAAGAAACTTTTTAGTTTGAGTTCATCCTATTTATTGATTCTTGATTTCAATCCTTGCACCAAAGGAGTCTTATTAAGGAAGTTAGGGCCTAATCTCACATGATGGAGATTAGGGCCTACTTTTTCTTCTATTAGATGCATTGTCTCTGGTTTTATTCCTAGGTCCTTGGTACACTTTGAGTTGAGTTTTTTGCATGGTGAGCTATAGAGTTTTAATTTCATTTTGTTGCATATGGATTTCCAGTTTTTACCATTTGTTGAAAAGGCTATCTTTTCTCCAATGAATTTTTGGCAGCTTTGATTTAATGAGATAATTGTAATTTTGTGGGTTAATCTCTGTGTTCTCTATTCTGTACCATTGGTCTACCAGTCTGTCATGCCAGTACCAAGCTGTTTTTATTACTATTGCTCTGGAGTATAATTTAAGGTCTGGTATAATGGTGCTACCTGCTTCACTCCTCCTGCTAAGGATTGCTTTAGCTATTCTGGATCTCTTATTTTTCCAGATGAATTTCATGACTGCTTTTTCTATTTCTATGAGGAATGTCATTGGGATTTTGATTGGGATTTCATTGAATCTGTATAGTGCTTTTGGTAGTATGATCATTTTGGTAATATTAATTCTTTTTTTAAAAAAAAATTTATTTGTTTTAATTAGTTACACATGACAGTTAATTCTGCCTATCCAAAAGTAAGGGAGATCTTTCCATCTTCTAAGGTCTCCTTTGATTTGTTTCTTTAGGGTTCCGTAATTTTCATTATATAGATCTTTTACCTCTTTTGTTAAATTGATTCCCAAGTGTTTTATTGATTGATTGATTGAGACTATTGAAAATAGGGTAGTTTTCCTCATTTCCCTTTCTGAGGATTTGTCACTGATATACAGAAATGCACTTGATTTATAGGTGTTGATTTTATGCTATGCTAATTTGCTGAATTCATTAACTAGTTCTAGAAGTTTTCTGGTGAAATTTTTTTAGGGTCCTTCTAGGTATAGAATCATATTGTCAGCAAATAGTTTATTTTGAGTTCTTATTTTCCTATGCATATCTCTTTAACTTTTTTAGTGTTTAATTGCTCTGGCCAGTGTTTCAATAACTATGTTAAATAGAGGGCATCCCTGTCTTGCTCCAGTTTTTAAGAGGGAATGCCTTCAATTTTTCTCCATTTAAAATGAAGATGGCCTGGGCCTTAGCATAGATAGCCTTTATGATGTTGAGATATGTTCCTGTTATCCCGACTTTTTCTAGTGTTTTGAACATGAAGGGGTGCTGTATTTTGTCAAATGCCTTTTCTGCATCTATTGAGAGGATCATATGATTCTTATCTTTAAGTCCACTGATGTGATGAATTACAATTATTGATTTTCATATATTGAACCAACCTTGCATCCCTGGGATGAATCCAACTTGATCATGGTTCACAATCTTTTTGATATGTTTTTATATTTGATTTACCAGAATTTTATTCAGAATTTTTGCATCTATGTTCCTTAGAAATATTGGCCTGAAGTTTTCTTTCTTTTTTTTTTTTTGATGTGTCTTTGTCTGGTTTGTAATCAGGATGATATTCCAGCCACCCTTATTTCTAATCCAGAGATTTATGTCTGTCTCTGAGGGTCAAAGATGGCTATAAGGCAAATTGAGCAATTGTGACACCACAGAGGTACTCACCACTCTGCTCCAGGCCCTAGCCACCTTCTCTCCATCACATGTGGCTCATGAGCTATGGAAAGACAGGGTAAGCAGAGGCATCTCCAGGCCTGGTCCAACATCTCACTCACCTGTTCAGTTATTGTCTTGGGGGAAAGTAAAGAAGAAACTGTGAGATCAGGCAGAATGCCCTCCTGAGTGATTTCTATAGTTTCCTGTCCCAACAGCCAGGAGAGAGGTCTCTCCGTACAGTGGCTCACC